TAGGAAAGGCTAGTACAAGATACCATCATCGGCTAGAGAATCACCCAAACCAACTGGCTACGGAGCTGATGCATACTGCAGATCATCGTCGAAGACTGAAGAAGTTTAAACCACAAGACTTACCCAACCGATTTGAATAATCAGTAAATCAATGTTTGCAAGTGCACAAATAATTATTGTATATGTGAAGTGGTGTTGCTGGATCATCTATTCATTAAGTATTATAGTCCTTTTTTATTTTCTTTTTACCACATTTGATTTTGTCGAGAATTTGATTGTCGGGATTTTGATGTTTTCGAGAATTTAATTGTCGGGATTTCGATATAGATCCGTTATATCATTATTTAAGCATGTAGATTTAGTAGAAAACTTTAAATATAGAAGATACGCGTGATGTTGATAAATGCGAGGTGCGCAGCATGTAAGGAAAAGCCGTCGAGGAATGTTAATTGGCAATTGATAAATGACACTACATGATTAGAATGCGTTCGTTGCGAAGACAAAGAGGAAAGCACGCAATCACGAATGCATTTTATTTTGAAATTAATTGCGATGTTGGTCTTTGTGGCTGCTCGCAGAATGGCAGAATAAAGAGCACATGTGTACGTACGTACGTATGTATGTACGGTTTTTCTTTTCGCTCGTTATTTATCGGTCCGCTCGTTATAACATTTATTACAATCACAGCTAATAATATGACCTGTTCCTCTATTCGCAGTGTATTTATTATATTGCCTTCCATTGTTCGGTACGCTTTTGTTAAGCGTGTGTTTATGTGGATGGCAATGACGGCTGGATGAAAATTACTTTACGACTTTCCGTGCATTTCGTGCACCCCTGCGCACGTTTCCAGCCAAACCACACACCACCCCCTAATTAATGAATATATACGTCTGCTGGAATTACCTCACCTACAAAAACCACACATCGAACATTACCAAGACATATGCATATAACTTAACAATCTTTATTACCTAAACCCAGTGATTACTTAATTACTCGAAAATTTGTAAAAATTTACTGGATATTGATTATGGATATTAAATTAATAAAAAACAAAGATTCTAATGAGTTATTACTTACTTTCGTAATGGTCGAGGTTTTCTTGTAAAGTACTAGCAAAGTTGGGAAATTATTTTTGGATTCTTGAAAAAGCAGGGTCATCACGATTGTTTACTTTTTCAATTACTTAAAAATTAATAAATACATAAAGAATGTTAAATATGGATATTAAAGAAAAAAACTACAAACATTCTAATGACCTATTAAACCAGCAAAGTTGAGGATTTTATTTTTAACTCTCGAAAAGCGTCTTCACATTTTACTTAATCATTCAAAAATGAATACATATTGAATATGGATGTTAAAGAAAATTCCATAAAGTTTCTAATGATCCATTCAACATATTTTTAGTGGTGGCCGATTTCTAGTAATGAGCTCGCAAAGTTGAGCATTTTATTTTTAACACTCGAAAAGCAGCGTCTTCACATTTTACTTAATTATTCGAAAATTAATTATTATATAATACACATTGAATATGGGCATTAAAGAAAATATCATAAAGATTCTAATGACCCACTCAACGTATTTGTAGTACTTGCGGTTTTCTTGTAATGAGCTCACAAAGTTGAGGATTTTATTTTTAACTCTCGAAAAGCGTCTTCACATTTTACTTAATCATTCAAAAATGAATCATGATATAATACATATTGAATATGGATGTTAAAAAAAATCCATATAGATTCTAATGAACCATTCAACATATTTGTAGTGATGGCGATTTTCTTGTAATAAGCTAGCAAAGTTGAGGATTTTATTTTTATCTCTCGAAAAGCAGCGTCTTCACCTTTTACTTAATTATTCAAAAAGTAATCATGATATAATACATATTGATTATGGATGTTAAAGAAAATTCCACAGAGATTCTAATGCCCCATTCAAAATTTTTGTAGTGATGGCGATTTTCTTGTAATAAGGTAGCAAAGTTGAGGATTTTATTTTTATCTCTCGAAAAGCAGCGTCTTCACCTTTTACTTAATTATTCAAAAAGTAATCATGATATAAAACATATTGATTATGTATGTTAAAGAAAATTCCACAAAGATTTTAATGACCCATTAAACATTTTTGTATTGGTGGCGGTTTTCTTGTAATGAGCTTGCAAAATTGAAGATTTTATTTTTAACACTCGAAAAGCAGCGTCTGCACATTTTACTTAATTATTCGAAAATTTATCATGATATAAAACATAATGAATACGGATTGTAAAGACAAAACTATACAGATTACAATTAGCTAAAAATTAATTTTGAAGTTTTGGTGTACTCATAGGTATTAACAAAATAAACTCTGTATTTATATTGAAAGAATTAGACTAATAATCAATCAATTTATACTGAAAATTACATAACGATTCTTTGTAATACAAGCAATTGATTCGTGCGAAAAAAAAATATGTACAAGAGGTCAGCCAGTAAAGTCTATAAAGCGGAACCCGTAAAAGTCCCATTAGTTATAATTTATTATTGTATTGATTCGACGGAAGAAATGTTGGAAAAAAAAGTGTAACCACGATTTTCCTTAATTACATCCAGTAATAAAAACATTTCTTATAAAGCACCATAACTGTATTGTGTGTGTGTGTTTGAATATAATGACGATGTGGCGTGCGGCGGCAATAATCTGTGTGAATAGGGCCTTTTGAGGACTCGTGATTTTCGGGCTCTTTCTCCATCTAATTTCGACTATTCGATGTTACCTATACAATTTAATGTGTGATTTCTAAGACTCGTTAACGCACACAAAGAACATCAACAAATCTACATCTTAAGTGTACTTCATTAACGTTTTTTTATTATTATTAACGCTCATTTTCGCAGAAAAATACAACTAGTATATTATTTATTTGTATATTAGCACAAATATTTAATAAAAAAAATGTAAATAATTTATTTGTTAAGTGTAGAATAAGTATTTAAACTAAATTACTGTTTTTAAAATTTGATTATCTGTTTTACTTGCTGGAAGAACAATTTTGAAAATTCGTTTAATTTTGAAGTAAATCATCCGAACACCTTTCCATTTTCGCGCATCAGAATTAATCATGTTTACACTATCCGTGGGTCAAAGATGCGGCCGAGACAGTTTATCCCGTAAGTTATTACATAATTACAGGTGGCTTAATTAGGAGATCAATGGGATGGATGACGCCGGTCTGGATGCGTTTTCGGGATGGTGTGGTAGAAGGAGGGAGGCACCCGTTTCCCATTCGGTGATCTGTTAACGTCGCACCCGAAGAAGAGAAGGAAAGATGAGGAATGAAGACATCAATAACGACACCTCTGCCTCGCGATAAAGAATCGCCTCGGATTATTCATTCCCAAGGATTCCCGAGGATAAATGGCCCAGGCGTCTGCGGCCTCCGAGCAGATGGCTATTAGTGGATGTGATCTGCTGGAATTAAAACATTACGGTTGATGCAGTACAAATGTCGGGGGGCGTTCTCAGACTTTTGAGTTCTTCCAACTAAATTACCAACTTTTGTACCTCTCTCACTGTTGTCCATCTTTCGTGTTTTTTTTTTACTATCATAACAGAATAAATGTTTGCACGCATTGCGGTTTACGTTGTCTTCCGTGAACGCGATAATCGAGAAACTCTTGGAAATATTCTCATTAATTGAATTACGTCTGTATCATTAGTCCCGTGTTTAAAGTCGTTGATCAACTGCTTTGGATGCGATAGGTTGGATCTAAACATATTATCTAAACTTGACTATAGAATTAACTACACGAAGTATCATTATACTTACAAATTGTTGTTTAAATTTATTGCTTTTAACCTATTAATGTAACTCAAATATATAACATTACATGCTTCTTAATTTAATTACATTTGTATTGTACAAAACTCAAAAAACTAGTAAACATATTGTCTTTAATTTAATAATTTTTATTAATTTGTGGTGCATTTGATAGTACAAAATTTAGAAAATGGTCAATATCTAACGACGTTGTTGAAACATAAGAAATTAATGCCAATTATTTAAAAGACAAGGATTTATTGACTTATATAGAAAGCGTATTGATATTCTGTCTATATTAATAAATTGATGGTGGAATGTTCTTGTGGAATGCATTTAGTTTTTGAGTGAAGTGTTAATATAGTAATAGGTGAAGTTAATGAGATGCTAGACGTAACAATGGTGGTTTTCATTCAAAAAGATCGCAGTTGTTTTATTCACGTTAGTAATTTAGAATAATTAGTAGACCCGTGAAAAAAGATGAAAATAGACAGGAAGAGGAGGAAAAAAAACGGTGAAGTGTGATGTTGATGTGTATACAAAGTAATGTGTATTAATGAAGTGAAGGATGGTTTTATAATGTTATAGATTACGTCCGTCGGCATCCAAGTTGGAAGTGGGATGCGCGTTTGATGCATGTGGAATAATGAAGGAATATATGAGATGGAGGAGAAGAGAAAATTTCGAAGCAATCAATGTGTCAAATAGGTATTTGTGGGCTGCGGTTCGAGCAGAAGAAACAGTCGAGGGGCTTTAATATGCAATTAAAGGGCACAATGGACGGGCGGCGGAGTCATTGTGTCCACCACAATGAACACAGGTAGTTGTGTAGGACGCTAATGAAACTTATTACACTAATTGGAGTGGCACCACCCGTCGTTGATCCGCGGCACCATCATTGACCTACGTTCGGTCCACCACCTGAATCAAAAAAAAAAGAAGAAAGAAACGCCTCTGCAAATTTCGATTCACAGCGAGCGTCCGAATCCGTAGACAACGTTTCGACAACGTCACTTCTTCGCATCTGTTGATGTTGAATGCGATCGGCAATTCAAGCGTTTCCGGTCAGATTAATTAAATACATTTGACCCAAAGAATACGCAAAATCATTTGCCAATTGATACTACTTAAAATTACAAATAAATTGTTCTCAATTATATAATAAAAATTATTTTTTTTATTGATCAATTAAGTCTGTATATATAGTTTTTTTATATAAATTGTTAATGTATTTTATATTATGTGCAGGGAGAAGAATGGAGGAGAAACACCTAAATTGGGTTACGGCGAATGTAATCAATCAAGTTCCCTTTTCCTCTTTTTCTTAAGAGGTTCCAGGCCGCTGGAAAACTCTGACGTCTCCAAGCTCACTGTTCTAGGTATCTTCTGTGCTTTTTTCTTCGCAGTCTCTTTCTTCGGGAACATTGGTGCTACGTAATCCCTGCAAAACACAACAACGACAAGAAAAAAAAATTAATACCATTAATAACATTCTTCGAACCAATTTTCATCTATATACACAATACTCATTTAATTTGGATTAATAATGCTGGATCAAACATATGTAGTATTAGCGTAAAATTAGTCAACTATAACTAAATAAAGAAAAACTTGATGTATTTTCAATTTTTAGAAATTTCTAATCATTTGCCACGTTAATATTGCTTCGAAATTAATATTTAATGGATTTACATCAATTTTTTTTTTTATAAATTTGTAGGATTGATGCGTAGCACAGTCTGTTAATTAGGTGCTACCTTTTAATTTGATACGAAATAGATTATACGAGGTTTCGTGAGATGGTCGTAAAAAATGATGCGAATGGAAAAATAATAATGAAAAATTGTATATATATAATTAAAGCGTACGTTCGGGGTGAAATTAAAATAATAATAAATGAAGTTAAAGTAGCCTGATGGCGATGCAGCCAACAGTTTGATTAATGTAAGAGTCATTATCGCGTTAAACCGGGTCGAGCGTGGATCGGATCGGTGAATGCGTGCGGCAATCGCACAAAAGGGCCTTCCTCCGCCATCTCACCCCTCCGCGCTCTCTTCCCTTCTCCCCATTTTTTTTTAAAACACATGTACAAATACAATCCTTCTAATTCTTATTAAAACACCTTTGTTGCGTCCATTTTTCACCACAAAACGACAATACAGAAATTGTCTTTCATATTTATTTTTTCACTCTCCGCCCGACTTTAATCGGCTTACAATGGGGAATTGAGACGTCAAGGATTCGCCTGCATCTGCTAAATTGGAGGCGATCGATTGTACGGAAATTTAATTGGAATGCCAATAAACAGTTGATTCGAGATAGAGTGAAAGAGAGTAAATGAAAAATGAAGAAGAGAAGATGAAAAAAAAAGCTTTAATGAAGCTTCCTCCTCTCCGGCGGCTCGAGTTTTTTTTCTTCTCCTTGTACTTTCCTCATCGGCTATATACTACATTCATATATAAATCCAGTCGGTGATTAATCACACGGAATCCATTAATTACATTTATACGTGATTAGTGACTACTATGCGGTGCTACGCATTGTGTTTCAGTGGAGATTCTGAAAAATGCGGACGCCCACTTGACTATTTAACAAGATGGCTACTGCTTCGTGCGCTCGCCATTTGAGCTTTTGTCTTGTTGGAAGCGCACCACGATCATTGGATAATTGGACGACGCCCAAAGTTGCGGCTCATTACATTAACAAACAGACATTTACTCTCCAACGCAATCTCATTTACTCAATCGAGCGCAATTAATAATGCCGCAGCAGCGGAGAACGTAAAATTATTGTCCCGAGACAATTTTCTCCAATTATTTATGTAAAGAGTTTGTAGTTCGGATTGTTTCTTTGCCTCTGCTCCCGTCCATTGTAGTAGGGGTCCATAAAATCGTACATAAAAGGAGTTGAAATTACAAACGAACGGCGCATTCGTAACGGATTATTACCGATTTTGTATCAAAGAACCATAAAAATTTAAATAATGGTAAATAATTGCGGCATTACATGAAAGTACCATGGCCTGGCAGCGTTTAAATGTACGCTGCTTGTTTCTCTTTTTATTTATTTTGTTGTTACTGCTGCTTCTTTTTCTCCTTTCGCGATCTTGCTTTTATCATTATACAGATTGCGCGGACAAATTGCCAGTTTAGTTGTTTTTTCTTCTTCTTTTTTTTGTGGTAAATTCGATGGTCGCGACAAGAAAACAGCATGCAAATCTAATTCCATTCGTCGGCAATTAAGATCGGATGAATTATTCATATTTGCTTACCCGTGATTCGCAAGTTTCTTGTTGAGCCTCGGCTGTTCGATCTTGCCGACGTGGCCACGGACGACCTGAGAGATGGCCTTCGGCGTGTCTTTGATGGCGAAGCTGGTGACGTAGTGGCCCAGATGGATTTTCTTGAAGTCGAACATCGATCGCATCTTGGCGGGGTAAGCGTTGTAGAAGCGCGACCAGGTCGAGTAAGCTGCAAGAGGTATCGAGCGCGTATTGGGATCAAATTAAACATTAAAACGTTGATGATGTGAGAGAGTGGACCGGGGCTCAGGACACCGAAATCCACTTTCCGAGAGGGCGGTTTGGGGGAGGCGACCCGTGCTCCGGGGTCGCTCTCTCGTGTCCGACACTCCATTATGCATCTAAACTGAGTTTTGTATGACCCGTGGCCCTTATATGTGGCCAGCAATCCATCACCTTTCTGTCCCCAAGGAAAAATCAAAAACGAAACTCACCCATGCACGCTCTTTTGTGCAGATCCACGTCCTGCTCGATGCGCTTTTCGTAGCGCTGCTGCAGCATCGAGGCGGCAATTTCGTGATTGCTGACACCCATCAATTCGCTCAGATGATTTAAGTACGGCTGTGGTTCCCGTTTCTGCAAACTACATTAGCAATTGAACGCTTCAGTTCGCTCAAGTTTTATCTTGGTAAAAACTCACTAAACTCGATGCTGGCGTAAATGATTCACATACTCCTGTTCGTCGTGAGTTAAAAATAGAATCGCCGTACCGGATTTTCCGGCACGTCCAGTTCTTCCAACTCTATGCAAGTAATCTTCGTCTGTTTGAGGTCCAGTGTATTGAATAATGCAGTCAGCCAACGGCACATCAACACCTCGAGCAACAACATCCTTATAACAGAATAAATCACTATAATTATTAATCTTCATCACCTTCGAATATTTGCTAAGTACTTCATGACAAGAATTTAATACAAAAATTAAACTAATCGCGATTTTTTTTACGTAAAAAAATTAATTTACTTTTATATCATAGTAAATGAATTGTTTGATAAATTGTACTCACCGTACAAAGAAGAATTCCAGTTTTAGCAGCCCTGAACGAGGTGAACACATCCTTCCTCCGTTTCTGATCCATGGATCCGTGAAGCGCGAAGAACGGGGTGTCCAAGACGACCTCTTCCTCGCAACGCTCGACGATCTCTCCATCACTATCAACTTCTTGCTCCATATAATCAATTTTATTCTTCTTCACAGGCATTTTTGCAAGGCACTGCGTGAACAATTCGTAATGGTACTCCACCATTTGCGTACTCGCCATGAAAACGAAAACCTTTGCGTTCTCCTTAGCTTTAGCAACGAGAAGAGCGGACAATGTGAACAGCCTGTGCTTCACATACGTGATTATGAATTCCTGCTTCACGGTATTGGGTATCACAAAGCTGTCCATCACCGCGTTAGAGTTTTGATCCAAAGCATCGATGTAGGTATGATCCTTCATCGTGAACTCTGCCAACTCGCTGACACCTTTCGATAAAGTTGCAGACAACAAAATGGTCTGCCTTCTCTTCGTGTTTCTTGTCAATAGCGGTGGTACATCATCTGATTCTGGCTCTTCGATCGTTTCCTCAACGTTGTTTTGTTGTCCTTTCAGTATAGCCATTGGATCGTAAACCGAATCGGTTTTGGCTTTATCCAAAGCTTCCACCAAACTAATCCCATAATAAATTTAAACTGTTCCATACTCAATTCATTGATGCATTACCTGATGATATCCTTTCTGAAGCCCATGTCGAGGAGTCGGTCCGCTTCATCCAATACCAAACACCTTACCTTATCCACCTTCAGAGCTGAAGTATGCAGAACGTGGTCCAATAAACGGCCGGGTGTTCCTACCAGCACGTTGATGCCCTTTCGAATCCTGTCCTTTTCTGATTTGCGGTTTTCACCGCCGCATAGATGCCCCACAATAATCCTTTGGAACGTCTGCAAATCGCGTGTAATTTTAGGCCTGAATCGGTGCATTATTAATGTAAACTCACGTTTATCTGCTGTACAAGTTCATGTGTCTGTAATGCTAATTCACGGGTAGGCACCACAATTATGGCTTGAACTCCATCGGAACGTGTGAGCGCTGGTTGAAGACCTTGCAAAGCGTCTATTATGGGCACGGCATATGTTAATGTTTTACCAGATCCAGTTTGAGAGCGAACCTACATATGTTTTCCAATCATATTAAGAAAATATTCCACATTTTTTTTTAATTATTTCAATAAATTTAAAGTTTAACTTAAATATTTAAAAAGTGTTGTTTAAAGACAAAATACTGATCAAATAACAAAATTTATGAGTACTTGAATCAAGAAAAAAAAAACTTACCAAAGTATTTTTTCCAGACATAATGACTGGAATAGACTTCTGCTGCACATTGGTCATGTCTTTGAAGTTGATCTTTTCCAAATTGGAAACAACGTGTCTATTCAAACTCAAATCGCTGAATTTACTAGAAGTAAAAACTTTCTCTGAAACAGATTTTCCGCCTTCCAAATCGACGTACACATCTTTTGCCTTTTCCGTAAACAACTTGTAAGACTTCTTCTTCAACTTCTCATTTGTTCCAGACAATTTCAGTAAACTATTAGCAAGAGGATTATTATATTCCCTTTTATTCTGTACTTCTTCACCTTCTTCTGGACCATCATTTCCCTTATTATTACCATTATCAACCTGATTGAAGGATCTATTTGTCCTAAAGTTATCATTTCCCTTCTCATTATTACTATTATCAAACTTATTGAAGGATCTATTTGACCTAAAGTTATCATTTCCCTTTTCATTATTACTATTATCAAACTTATTGAAAGATCTATTTGACCTAAAGTTATCATTTCCCTTTTCGTTATTACTATTATCAAACTGATTGAAGGATCTATTTGGCTTAAAGTTGTTCCCATCATTTCCTTTATTGAAAGCATTTGGTTTTCTTTCCTTAAATTTATTATTCTTATTAAACTCATTCACTTCCCTCTTATCATCATTCTGTGGCTTCTTAATCTCTTCACCCTTTTCCTCCACAACATTAACTACTTTATTCCAAGGTGTAGAATTGATTTCATCACTGTATTTATTAAATTTGTTGTTAGAATTGAACGCACTTATTTGAGTTGAAATATCTTCTGACTCATAAAGAAAACTGTGTTTTGATGGATACTGTGGCCTCGATTTATTTCCAAAACTATCCTTATTATTTTTATCAAAACTATTTGAAACATCATCTTTACTATCAACTTGTTTAGTATTTTGTTTCACTTTGCCTGTTTCAGCCGCTTTAACAGGTTCAGTATATATATTTAATGTAAATGAGTCATTCTTATTAGTGATTTCTTTACATTCTGTCTGTTTATTTTTACTGAACAAGTTAGATAATTTGTTTGGATTTTTGCCTGCATTGCTTATTACTTTGTCCGTGTCTTTTTTCTGTTTATTCTCAGGAGCAGTTTTCCTCGCAAACACAACAGATTTTCCCTTAGTTTTAGTTTTGTCCCATGTAAAGTTTAGCTCTTCACTGAGAGATTTATTTGAAGCCTTATTCTTTTTGTTCATCTACAAGGAATGAATAATATAGTAATTAAAAAGTGCAATATTGTACATGCAATATTTACCTTCTTCGTTGGCTGTGCCTTTGCCTGTATCACCATTATTACACTGATTAAATATAATTTACACTTAATGCAATTGAATTCAATTCACTTAATTAACAAATCACTGTTTAAAAACTATATAAAACTTAATTGAAAATTGAACCTTGCAATGCGAAGTAAATATTAGATTTATAGGTTATGTTAAGAAAGCATGCGACTAAATTCGTTTGAACTATTTTTGAAGGTACTAGTTTTTGAACTACTCTTTTAAATTTAAAACAATCAAAAGGAAATTATTGTTAATTGTATTGAAAATGCAACACAAATACATTTAAATTAATGTTTATTATTTTATAATTCTACTGTGTTTGTAGCAATTACTTGTAATAGGTTATAAAATAATTAAATTTTAAGATTTTCATCAGTTTTAGTGAAAAGTTAAGAACATAATTAACACACTAATTACTTACAAAAAACTATCGACCGCAGTTTTTTTTATATTTATTTTAAAACTATATAAATCAGGATATATAATCTCCAAGAAGACTTCAACTAGATTCGTAATAACTGGATTAAACCAAAATTAATGAACTTATGATCAAAATTTACACATGAATAGGAAAGTTATTAACAACAAATTATTTATTTGCAATAGAAATTTAAAAAATTCATTCCTTATTACTAAATGATTTCAAAATGTTTTAATGAAATACTATAGTTTTCTTTCGTAAATGATACAAATTATATAGATTTTTATCAATAACTTATACAAATTTAAAGTTAAAAATTAAATTGTTTTACACATTTGTTGATGGAATAGCTTTTGGTACATGAATTGAGATTTTTGTAACAAAGTTGCATTTTAAAGCTTCTTCAATTAGAAGACAAATTAACATTTAAAATGTGAATTTGCCTCGGCTGCTGCTAATTTGGAAAATTATAATTTAGTACAAATTGAATTGCGAATGGCCGCGTTTACTGCTGGAATAATAACGAGGACAGTGTGGGGCTTTTCAAGTGTTTGGGAGATGTAGGCAGAAATACATTATGTAGCCGAGCAAAGCAAAGCACACGTAGGACAGATATAGAGGAGCGTGAGTGAGAGAGAAGGATATAAAGGAAAGCGTATAAAAGTTCCGAACTGTACATTTTCCATTTGGACTAAATCCAATTTTTACCCGGCGATTATTCAAATGCGAAGATTTATCGGCGACTCTCTCGGATGTATAAATCCGTTGAAAATACGAGAAAATGGTTTGACTCGATGCTAATTTATCGCAGGCAACGCTCGGGTGCCAACCAAATTGTTACAAAACTCGCAAAACCAACCGAAAAACGTAGTAGATGTGCATCGACGACAAACGGATATATTTGGGGAGAACGCGACGATCAAACTGTTGTCACCACCATCCACCACCCCTCCTACAAGCTAATAATTTATGTCCGACGAAGAAACGGAAAAGTACAAATAAATAAATCACGGAAATCGGGAACAACAAAACGAAAAAAAGGGAAGAAATGTGGGGTTGGTGGTGGTTGCGGTTGTTGCGATCGCTCGATTGGATTACAAATATTGTTTCTAGGAAATCGCCAATGGAAACAGAATTCGAAATTAGTGTACAGCAAGTATATATATATATATATACAATAAACAAACGGAATGCGTGTCCATTAGCACCCTTCACGCTTAATCAGATAGCCGTTCTTGTGTTTGAATTATTATTATTGTATTTCGCTTTTTCTATTTTTCTCTCTCTCTCTTCTTTCCTTCGGGTTTCCAAAACACACACAAAAAGGTGTATTAGCGTTGCGATCTTTTAATCAAACATCGGCCAGTGTATGTGCATTACACGTGAAATCCTTATAAATATTTAACGCCGATAAAACTATAATAATAATGGGAGAGACATATACAATGGGGTTCGAAGGGTGTGTCTGTGTGTATGTGTGTTGAGCTGCAGATATCAATCATTTCCACACCCTCACAGCAGTCGCGCATTCAACACTGGATTCGGCATGGCTCTGTGGCTAATAACGCGAACACCACTACTTTACTTTGCCCACCCCTAAGTTATATACAGAAACTATATATACGAAACCACTAATGGACCTCTAATGCCTACCTAATTCTTCCTTTCAATAGGATAATCCAACGAAATCGATCTAATCGACAAACAGTATTGTCCGCATAAAAGCCTCTTTTCAATTCACGACTTGCCAAACGGCTTAACAGTGCCAAGCTGGACAATCGTTCCCATGAACTCTAACAAATCAAAGATAAAGATGCAAAAGTTGCAACCGTTTAACTGTATAAAAATCCATAAATCTATCATTAATGCTGTATCCACACTATTCTTCATATGAGACATACATATATCCCAGGTGTACCAACTACTATTAACAGTTTACATTAATATTTAATTGTCATTACTACTATACAAAATAAAAAAGAACTTGCCATATAATTATTTTTAAATAAATTATTTTATAATAAAATTATACCTCGATAATAGAAAGGAAGTGTTTTAGGACCACTGCTCTACCTTCTCTACACGGCAGATATTCCTAAAACTAACAATACTACAATTGCAACATTTGCTGATGACACAGTAATCTTGGCATAAGATGAGAATCCAGTAGTAGCATCCGAATATCTACAGGAAAATTTAGATAAGTTACAAGAATGGCTTAAAAAATGGAGAATAGCAGTTAACGAAATGGAATCCGTGCATATCACATTCACGTTAAATAAAGACACCTGCCCAACTGTAAGACTTAATGGACAAGATCTGTTCAAAGCAACAAAAGTCAAATATCTAGGAATGCATCTAGATAGAAGACTCACCTGGAAAGATCACATTGAGGCTAAGAGGGAGTAATTAGAAATAAAGTTTATAAAACTCTACTGGCTTCTAGTGGAAAATGAATTACTTATATACTTATTGTATATACATACGTCTATTGTATATGCATACGTCCATACTGAAATCAGTATGGACGAATGGTATCCAATTGTGGGGTGCTGCCAAGTAAATCGAACATACAAATTATACAAAGGTTCCAATCAAAATGCCTAAGAAATATTATTAGGTCTTCATGGATCGTCAGGAATAAACAAATACACGAAGATCTTCATTTAGTTATGGTCGAGGATACAATAGCAACATTTAGTAGTAGATACCAAGATAGACTGGAGTCACATACTAATGTTCTGGCTATTGGCCTAGTCGACAACAGTGATACCACAAATAGGCTGAAGCGTTGCAAACCACTAGATTTAGTATATAGCTTTAATTAATTATTAATGTTCAAAATCATCATAATGGTAATGGGATAAATTATCCATTTAATGTAAACCGCGATCTTAAATTTACTCAATGTTCACTTTGATGAACAGATTGTGAATAAAATTATACGACATAAAAAAAATTAAACTATTAAACTATTAAAAAAAAATAATTTTTGTTTTCAAATATTAATATTTTGAAGAGCATTCTAAATGGAAACTTCAAATAAATAAGTTGTTTTAATTAATCCAAATTTGTAAATATTTTTTCAAAAAATAATATTTTTATGAAATTTTAACTGAAAAATACTGCGACTACACTATTCCTAATATGAGACATTAATATCTGCCAAGTACTACATACTCCATAATTCCAAAAAAAAAAGGTTTTATTCTCAAAGATTAACATTTCTTTAGAGCAATTTAGATGGAAAATTCGAATAATTAAAGTCACAAAGTCTCAAAAAAGTATAGTGCAAAATAAAGATATCAATTTATATGTTTTTTTTTTGAGTCGTCGCTGAGTTGTCAGTCGCCGACTTGTCCGTCGCCGAGCAGTTACGTACCCATTTTTTATAAAATATATAAATGTTTAAAAGCTCCAATTCGACCAAAATTCTAATACATAAATGATATACTTTTTCAAGTTGTTCTTTGCATTGAGAATAAATATGAACAGTAGCTCTCACTTAAATGAAGCAGACTACTTGAAATATTTATAAGTTTTTTTTGTACGAAAGTGTAAGTAGGAAGGTTCGATGTCTCAATTGAATTGAGCGTGTTGATGCATCCGGATCCTAATAAAGCATTCTGAAAAGCTCGGGCTCGGTGTCAATGAGTCCTTCAGATGTGAGCTGATTGACTTTAATACTTTGCGATTTCATCCCCTTTTTTTTTCTACTCGCAGTGGACGGGCGCGTCTCGAAGGGTGTACACGTGTCTGCGAGGGTTTTGCTATTGGTGAGGATGCACAGAGGGTGGGTGGATGGTTTGGAAAGGGCGTGATGATGTTCCCTTTTCGGGATCCGTCAAGCGAGGTGTCGCTTAATTTGTCTAAAGTGCAAATTTTATCGCGATCCAATTTACAAGGAAGGAAAAGTATGCGCCGGTAGTGGCGTTCACTTAGCGCCCGTTTGAAGTACAGACAGTTAAGTAAGCTGTTTTAATATTTAATGTTGCCATGCATATTTATGAGAGAGCTTCGCGCTTCTATTTCTCTCCTTTTCTCCTCACACTTTTTTTTATATATATTATTTTATATTCCCGTTCTCGCGCTTTGCATCTACATGTTTTCTATATACATTTATATTTACGTGTATATACACAATTCGCTCGGGTCGCGTCTCCGGAATTACGATGAGGACGGCATGTATAAAAAGGGATGCTTCTTTGTATTATTTATAACATCAAAAACATATTCTTCCTTAACATGTCATTTTTTATTCTAAAAAACAAGTTAGTTCTACCAAAACTTTAATTAAATACCAAACATTTTGTATATTCCAATTTATTTCAATTTCAGCGATTACATGCATAAAATATCCTCAGAATTTTTATTTATTCGTGATAACTGATTTGTACTAAATACTTCATTTGAAAAGTACATATTTTTCTTATTATAATATAATGAATATTGTTGATATTTCTAATCCAAAACGTTTTTATTTTACTTTTTTTAAAATATAGATATATACTTTTTTTTTTATTTCATTCAATAGAACTTGAAATGAATGGAAAGTCACAAAACACTATACACAGCTGACATGTTAACTGCGACATGGGGGTTTCGCAGATAACGATGAAGAAGTTCAACAAGTATTTGTGTTGTGTAAATTTGACACTTGCCACGAGATTCATTGGATTTTTGGGATTGGTAAGTACATATTTTTATCATTTAATTAGTTGAGATTTATGTGAATTATAAAATTGATGAAATTCAGGCTGTATCAGCGATTTTGACGTGCGTTCTAATAAACGATAAGGTGTCCACGGATTACAATGCCAGCAGGAAGACTGCGTTGGTGCTAGGTTTGGACTGGGAACATTTTCACCTGAAAGCAAATGCCTCGCACGCCGCAGATCCAGAAGGTATTTCTTCCTATAATCATAACATTATCACTACCTAATTGCTGAAATTTCAGGGAATACTATTTCGATTATTGTCATTTTATATGCCGTGTTATACCTGCTCATTAATAGCTTACTCATTTACTCCACGATCACAGTACGTTACAGATACACTTCTCAAATTTTTCAATTATTTTCGACTTGTGTTTTTTTTTGTAGTTGAATAGATGGTGCACAGTTCCATGGATAATCTGCGAATTATTCAGTTGCGTTTCCAAAGTGGTTGCCATGGTTTTTCACAGGCTTGATGATCAGGACCATTTTAGCAACGTCTTTGTGATTGGATCTATTTGCTACATATGTAAATACAATATACAGTGGATATTCGGTTTACGAACAATGTTTATTTTCAGTACTCAACTTGTTCGTTAATTGAAACGACTTAAGCTTCATATTACCACTAGCGTTGTTACAAAAAGAAACCTCAATCTGTCTGTAAAATGTTCGTTCTCCGAATATCTGTTTCTTGTTCCAACATAAAAGTCTTTAGAGAAAATATTCGTTGTCCTATTTGTCCGCAGTCCGAACTATTCGTTTTTAATTTAAAGATTAACTTCCATTTAATATGTTTTCCATTCTATTTAAATTTTCATTTATTAATGATGAAAACTGTTTTTTTTCTTTTAGTATTAAATATTTGGTGGTGGATTGTAGTCGTGTCAGCGCAAGCTTCATGGACGGAACAGAACAGGTTTACTTTTCACTTCACGCTTACTCCTAAACCGAGTGTAAGCATGAGCAGTCGACTAGAGTCGGATTGGGATTTACCGACTATCGGCAATACAAGTCGTCCGAAGTTGTTGCACGCTGTTTCGTTCATCGATTCACCAAAGGCTTATTTACCCAATCAAAAATATTCGGAAATTTAATTCATTATAGATCGTAATTAATTATAGACTATTTGCTTCATTGATTTATTAGGAAAATAAATTTAATTTGTATGTAATTACAATTAGACAATAAATTATTTGTTAAATTCAATGTGATTTTTTTTAGAAAACAGCAATTTCAATGATTTTAGAGTGAAATATTATTTCAATAATTGTTATTGAGTATATTGTGATTGTTTGTTTTGAAGGACTTTTGTCAATGTTATGATATTTCCCATCTGTCATTTGAAAGATGTCTTGGAAGACAATTTTGCAGATGTTACTCTTGGATTCGTTAATAATCTTGATATTAGGATGAATTGAAATAGATTTACTTAACACAATAAATCAATATTTGCAATATCCATCTTAAACGCAAGGAAATCATCACTTTTTTAAACAAATCATCAATGGTCATCTATAATAACATCAAATAGAAACGATCATAATCCAAGCGTGATGAACGAGTACAAACCACATCGAAAGCTGAATTGCTTCAAAAAAGATCATGCTATCAATTTGGTGGGATTATTATGGTGTTGTGTTTTTTGAGCTGAATTAAAGAAACCTAATGATCAATTAGATGTTTACTATCAAGAACTAGTTAATCTGGAGGAAGCAATCAAAGAAAAAATGCCCAGAATTGGCAAATTGTGTTCCACCAAAACAATAGAAATCCTCATATATCTTTGGTAAGTCGTGGACAAAAATTGAATCTTGGTTAGGAAGTTATATAGCCCTGACCTTTTGCTGTTAGACAACCATTTATTTCAAAGTTTGCAAAAATCTTTAGATAGTAATACTTTCACTGATTATGATGACCTGAAAACGCACTTGCTTCAGTATTATTACTCATAAGGACGAGAAGTTCTATGAGTGAGGAATCACGAAGTTGCCAAAAAGACATTCTACAAAATTCTTTGTAAATAAGAAAAAGTGAAATGACTTACTTGTCGACCTAATATAGTATTAGTGAAATATTATTTCAATAATTGTTATTGAATATATTGTGATTGTTTGTTTTGAAGGACTTCTGTCAATGTTATGATATTTCCCATCTGTCATTTGAAAGATGTCTTGGAAGACAATTTTGCAGATGTTACTCTTGGATTCGTTAATAATCTTGATATTAGCATGAATTGAAACAGATTTACTTAACACAATGAATCAATATTTGCAATATCAATCTCAAACGCAAGGAAATCATCACTTTTTTAAACAAATCATCACTGGTAATAAAAAATGAGTCATCTCTAATAACATCAAATAGAAACGATCATAATCCAAGCGTGATGAACCAGTACAAACCACATCGAAAGCTGAATTGCTTCAAAAAAGATGATGCTATGAATTTGGTGGGATTATTATGGTGTTGTGTCTTTTGAGCTGAATTAAAGAAACCTAATGATCAATTAGATGTTTACTGTCAAGAACTAGTTAATCTGGAGGAAGCAATCAAAGAAAAAATGCCCAGAATTGGCAAATCGTGTTCCACCAAAACAATGGAAATCCTCATATATCTTTTGTAACTCGTGGACAAAAATTGGATCTTGGTTAGGAAGTTATATGGTAACACTTTCACTGATTACGATGACCCGAAAACGCACTTGCTTCAGTATTATTACTCATAAGGACGAGAAGTTCTATGAGTGAGGAATCACGAAGTTGCCAAAAAGTCATTGTACAAAATTCTTTGTAAATAAGAAAAAGCGAAATGACTTACTTGTCGACCTAATATATTAAGTTATGATTTTAGAAAACAGCAATTTCAATGATTTTAGAGTGAAATATTATTTCAATAAATGTTATTGAATATATGGTGATTGTTTGTTTTGAAGGACTTTTGTCAATGTTATGATATATCCCATCTGTCATTTGAAAGATGTCTTGGAAGACAATTTTGCAGATGTTACTCTTGGATTCGTTAATAATCTTGATATTAGCATGAATTGAAATAGATTTACTTAACACAATGCGTCTTTTGAGCTGAATTAAAGAAACCTAATGATCAAATAGATATTTTCTGTCAAGAACTAATTAATCTGGAGGAATCAATGAAAGAAAAATGTCTAGAATTGGCAAATCGTGTTCGACCAAAACAATGGAAATCCTCATACATCTTTGGTAACTCGTGGACAAAAATTGGATCTTTGTTAGGAAGTGATATAGCCCTGACCTTTCGCTGTTAGACTACCATTTATTTCGAAGTTTGCAAAAATCTTTAGATGGTAAGACTTTCACTGATTATGATGACCTGAAAACGCACTTACTTCAGCACTTTATTGCTCATAAGGACCAGAAGTTTTATGAGCGAGGAATCACGAAGTTGCCAAAAGGTCATTGTACAAAATTCTTTGTAAATAAGAAAAAGCGAAATGACTTACTTGTCGACCTAATATATTAAGTTATGATCTTAATGTCTTAATTTTTAATGAAAAGATTTTGTATGTAAAAAAAGTAATTCTATTAGAATTAGCTGTAAAAATTATATTTGGATAAAATAAAGATTGAAGAGAGAAAAATAATGGACAGATTGTATATAATTAGCTGTCGTTTTATCTCGATCAAAGACGTATATAATGAAAACAAAATAGGGATAATGAGAATATAATTTCGGGATGTTTAATGTCCCTCCGCGCATTAAAGAAAAATCTTAATTAGAGCCATTACGACGGTCGTGATTGGATCGTAATTATATACGATTTAGATTTGGAACTTTTCGATGGAGATGAAGAAAGAATCCCTCCACCTCTCCACCCCACTCTTAGGACAATTGAATTGTCGTGGGCCCTGCCTTGTTACGCAATATTCGAAGGCGGATTCAAAAAGTCGGTAACTAGTGTTTTAAAAGTTTCCGAGTGACATTTTAACAAATTACACTTTTCGTTTCTTTTCATTTCTTTTTAAGAGCTCACTCAAGTAGATAGATTAGTCGTGCGGCAGGGAAAGAGAGAGAGAAAAAAGGAGAGAGCGAAGTTTAGGGCTTTTAAGGATGCAACTCGATAAAACAAATTTCTGCGAAAAAGTTCTCTAAATTTTTTTTTACATGTTGGTTAGGGCTTCTTTTTTGCTGCCGTTCCCTCTGCATTATTCTAATTCAATTAGTCCGGATTAATTTTAATGCGAGAGGCAATTTGCTCGGCGAGAAAAGAGGGTAAAAATCTCCAATTTCGTGTTCATAAATGCAGAAACGTTGATTTATCTGCGCTAATGTAGTCGGGGGCGTTAATGCCTTTGGATGATCACTGCAACATACACACATACATTCATACACACAGGGAATGATTCTATAGGATTTTTTTTCGCCGACGGCGGAAACTTTTATGCATGGACCATAAACTCAATGAATGGTAATAGCATTATCTATACCCTACTTCCTATACCAATAAAATCCTCCTCAGTCCTTTCGGTGTGATTCACCCGCCGCTGTCCGCTTCGTAAATTTATGAACGTATACAGCTTTTAAAAACTTAAATGCGAACCACCCGAATAAAAAATATAAATAGTATGGATTTGCGCAAATTTATTCGAGCTCGTATACTCGATTTTTTTTTTGCATTTTCTACATCTCTTTTGTATCTTCATTCCATCCACCGCCCACGAGTAAACGCATTTAAATCAAAATATATAGGACGAACATAAATCACGCTGTCTGACTATGACTACATTTTTTTTGTGCAGTATTTATATACAGGCTCTTTCCAATATAATTCATTTTAATGGTTTTAGGCAAGAAAAAATCTGATGAATTATTTAAAAAATAAACTAATATATTATACATCGTGTATTCCGGACAAAAAAAATTGGAGATTTTGGAGATGTTTGTTTGTAAATAATGTACAGTTTGCAATTTATAGTTCTGGTTGTTACATTTTAGTAACTTCTAATCATTGGGGCTTCAAGTTTGAATTCTCTTTAGGATTAACCTTTAGGAACAAATTGTGTTTCAAGACTGAGGTTTCACAGAATTAACATGGAAATGTTTGTATACCTATTCCTATCATGAGCAGTCCGCTTAAAAAAACATGTGTGTTAATATAGAATGAGATTTTAGCATTTTGTTTTACTAATTACATGATTTTACAGTAACATTGAATACAAAAAATTCTAAACAACATTTCAAAAACGGTCATTTGACCACGCGTGGTAGATTTAGTGTAAATGATTAAAAATCAATTTGTACAAAAAAAATTACATGATTTTTCTTGGAAATACGCCCAAGTAATGAATGAGATGAATGAAACATATTACAAAACCATAAAAAGATGTGTAGTAAATTCCTTATGTAGACAATAAGATAAAACGTGGGTGGACAAGTAACTGGTCAAGTAACGGTTGGTTACTTACTTGTATTTTCGCAAATCAAATCTTTTGGCAAGTGTTTATATCTACAAGGTGCGAGTATTTCAACAAGTAAATCTACTTGACACTACTTGACAAATAAGTAATTTACAAATTATATACGTTTTGCAATTTAGTATTTGAAATTTGACAAAAATTAAGACACTTTTTCAAAAATCTTATAATTTTTATTATATTCTTACGTAATTGTTTCATTTACAAAAAATATTTACAATTTATATACATTTTTTTCCAACATATTTTTTTGTAATAAACTACAGGAAATACAAAGTCATGAAGTTATATATAAAAATGTTATTAAATTTTGTATTCTGAAAAAAATGTAGATTTTGGAGATTTTGTCTAGACGATAAGATAAAACGTGGATGCACAAGTAACTTGTCAAGTAAGACTTAGTGTATGAGTGTTTTGACTTGCACAAATTATTTGTACTTGCACTAATGCCATTGAGGGAATTTTTCAAAAATCTTATAATTTTTGTTACATTCTTAACTAAAACGAAATGATTTCATTAACACAAAAATATTTACTTTTTACATAAAAAAAAATTTTCATTTTTTTGTAATAAACTACAGGAAATACAAAGTCATGGAATTATATATACAAATGTAATCAAATTTTGTTGTACAAGAATTATTTCATGAAATTTTTCAGGTATAACTAATATATTATATATACATCGTGTATTCCGAAAAAAATGAAGATTTTGGTGTTGTTTGTTTGTAAAAATTGTACATATTAGATTTTAGTAATTAGTAATCATTGGGGCTTTGTTTGAATTCGGTTTACGAACAACTTCTACGAGCAAAGTATGTTTAAAAACTGAGGTTTTTAGCAAAAAGACATAAAAAGATGTGTTGTAAATTCCGTGTCGGGTCTAGACGATAAGTTAAACCGTGGGTGCACAAGTAAGACTTAGTGTAATTGTTGTTGACTTACACAAATTATTTGTATTTTTATAAATGAAATAAAAAAATGGCAAGTGTTTATATATTTGCACCGAAGAATATCAACAAGTAAATCTACTTGACATTTTACTTATATACGTTTTGCTATTTGGCATTTGAAATTTGCCATTTTTTAGAAAAATTAAGACAATTTTTCAACAATGTTATAAGTTTTGTTACATTGCTAACAAATACGTAATGCTTTCATTTACAAAAAATATTTACAATTTATATAAATATTTTTCAAACATTTTTTTGTAATAAACTACAGGAAATAGAAATTTATGAAATTATAAATAAAAATTTTGTTTTACAAGAATTATTCCATGAATATTTTCACGATAAATTGTTTTTTTTTGTAAATTTTTAAATAAATTATGATTATATAATAATAATATAATAATATATTAAAACAAGTGTTTGAAAAAATTAATAAATTATAATAAAAAAAATTGAATAAAAAAGAATGTGTAATATTGTCATTGCATTTATTATGTAATAAACTATATATTATTGTATAATTACTGTGGAGGAATCTGTGTAGTTGCAATCATTCCATGTACAACATGTGCATTGTACAAATCTAGATTAACAAAAATTACATAGCAGTATCGTGCGAAAGCACCGATAATTAAGCAAATTCTCGTTAATAACTCAGCGACGGGAAAAAAATAACATCGCATGTTAATAAATTAATTAATGTCCCGCTCCCCGTCTGCGGACGGCAATTCGGAACGTTAGATTCGCAATTAATTCGCTCGGTAAGCGCCCACATCGTGTATCGTTCCTTCTGCTAATTAATGCGTGCGACGATTATACGCACGAATTATGTAATTCTAATAACCGATTACGCGAATGCGGCGATAATTTTCTTCCGGGAATCCCCGCAGGAAAATTATAACCTGCCCGCACACACATTGAACACACAATGTCGCGGACGGTTTAATTTCGGCTCGACAATAACAACAATACGAGCAGCAGCAGCAAAACAAAAAGATGAAATTGAATAGAGAAAGAGACAAAGTATTAAATGCGACAAAGGAATCCTCATTATGATCATCATCAACGAACTTTATCTGAAAACATGCAATTTGCGCTTTAAACTTCGGACGGAATTGCCCCCTGTCAACTGTCATTTCGAATCGTGGATCGTGTCCTAATTTCATGACAGCGCACACGAAAAACTCATTCATTATGTTTCAATCTTTTCATAGTTTCAACCATAACTACTACCTCTATTTTGCAGAACTAATAATGTTATTAGTCTAGTATATTTGTCTTCCAGTACAAAAAAAATTGATAAAATTCGGTTTTCGAACAGATTCCGCAGCATTTTGTATTGTATTAGGCAAAAAAGTATTAAGTAATAAGATTGAAAACAATTCGCATATTGATAATTAACTTAAAAATAAATTAATCAATTAATTTTTTTTATAATAAACTTAGTATTTACAATTTGCTATATACAAACTGACAATGTGTAAATAGTCTATAAGGCAGATCAATGGTGATATGCCTTTTTAGTCTATGATGAGTTTCACTATTGTCTAATAAATTCATTGCTAGAGTATTTGCGTGCTTTTCTAACCTGTTTTGGTATCGCCCACTAAACATAGAGATTCCACTTTTCATTGTATTAATTTGAAGGTCATTTTGGATAACGTCGTTTGGCACATACCATGGAGCTTACACGAGGGCACGCATACACTTTCATTGAATAACGTTGAATAATGTTGCTGACTGTTCCCCAATGCTGGATACCATAGATCCGGGTCTATATAGCAAGCCCGACACCGAAAAACAGTCTATTGAAATCCCCATGTTCGAAATCCCGAGTGTATCGAAATCCCGACGTTCGAAATCCCGGCTGTATTAATATCCCGACGCTGTTGCATTCATTTTATGAACAGGTAAAATCATAAAGTTTCTTTTTAATAGAGTGACATTTTATATTATTCTCTATTATCAAAAGTTGGTAATGATCAAATTAATATTTAAATTAATTGCATTTTTTTTTAGAATATTTTGACTCATTGCAATTGAACAAAAACAAGATTTTACTTCAATTATATTAATTTATAACATAAATATAAAACCTTGGCCAAAGGGGATTTTTATTATAAGAATACATTAAATAATATTATTATTTAACTATCACTTCATAAAATTTTATTAAATAATTGTCTAATAAAAAAAACTGGATTTGGAGATAGTTACTAACAAGTTATTTTTATTAAACTTGTCGCAACTATAAATATGAATTAAATATAAGTTTTTGGTATCAGTTATCCACTGACTAAACAAACAACATGTACACAAAACTTTTTATCGTGGTTTATTGCAGTTTATGCAGTTACTGCTAACGAAGTTGGAATCTTGCTTCAAGAAGCCGAAATCAATCAATATGGTTCTTACAAATTCAATTACGAAAGCGAAGATGGAACTAAAGTATCTCAAACTGGTTCTTTGAAGAACGTGAACAACAAAGATGTTCAAATAGCTGAAGGCTCGTATTCCTATCATGGTGATGATGGCAAAGATGTCGTTGTTAAATACGTCGCCGACGAAAATGGAAACCGTCCAATTGGAGACAATATTCCTGCATCGATTGTAAATCCCAACTACCATAAAAATGTTATTGTAGAAATTTATAATAATGAAAGGCACTGTCGGGATTTCAATATAGTCGGGATTTTGATTGTCGGGATTATGGTAGTCGGGATTTCGAACATCGGGATTTTGAGCCAGCCGGGAATTCGAAAGTCGGGATTTCGAACATCGGGATTTTGGTAGTAGGGCTTGCAATTGCCACCGCATAGATCCGCATAAAACCGGTATTTTAACACTACTTTATATATAAAATTTTTATTTTCCAGTGAAAGCTGCGATCAACTAGTATAATTTGGCGAATTTGATTCCTAGTTGCTTCCGTTTAGTTTTCATGTGTTTTTTCCATGTCAGTCTGCGATCTAAAATTATACCCAGGTATTTGGCATCATCAGCTTCTGTGATAACATTATTATTTAAAGTAACTGGAGGACAGGTTCTTTTTGTAGTGTTAATGTTACATGACTAGATTTTGTTTCATTAGTTTTAATTGGTCATTTTCTTTTAAGCATTTTTCAATTTCATTCAAGAAATCTTGAAGTTCTTTTGTTGCAAAATTACTGTATCATCAGCATAAGTTGCAACTGTAGTTTTTGCAGTTGTTGGTAGATCAGATGTGTAAATTGCGTAAAGAATGGATCCGAATTCATTATGATTCAATATTTTTATAGTTTATACCATAACTCCAATTTGCAGATCTAAATGAATTAAGTATAACAAAAAAAATCAAATATAAACTGTGAACAAAATTATAGTTTATGTTTTATGGTACATTTATAATATTGGTTACAATTGATTATAAATTTTTTATAAAAGTATTATTTAAAGCAAGATGTAAATAATTGATGTGCATATAATGTATTTAAGAAACATTTGGATTTGATAGCGATTTGCTTGGCTTTCAAGGTCTACAGGCGGTTGATAGTTATCCTGGTTGATGGCCCTGATTTGACCACAAAGACTTGGATATTCGATGCTGTGCGCCTGGCAGTCGGAAGCCGCCGCCCCAGGTGTGTACAAAACTTCACCGGCCACGTTTCCAGTAGGTTTATAATCGCACAACAATTCGAAAACATTCTTCATCTTTCCCATATTAAAAGAGAAGTTGATGGCGCATCCCACGAACATCGACTTCCCCCACAATATCTGCGTAAGCTCCTCAATCCTAGGATTAGGTTCGAAGCTGGTATACATCGATGCAGCATAGGATTCGTTGATGCTTGACAGCTTCTTCTCAACCCAATTCTGGACGGCCTTCTTCAGGAATGGTACACCTAGTTCTATGAAGGTCTTTGCATCTCTGATGTTGGCGTAGAGGTTTTGACCCATGGTTGTTCCATCGTAGGCGATGCGGACTGAATCGTGCTTCAAGATGCATTGCTTGATGTAGCAGCCGGCGAAGAACTCGCATTCCTTATCGTAGCTCATCACTTCCATGTTGGTGGCCGGTTTTATGTTGTAACTTGTGTAATTTCCCGAAGCTGCGAGGTTCCTGTAGAAGTTATGCACTTGGACTACGACTTCCCTTTGCTCATCGGTAAGGAATTTGTAGATGAAATCGTTGTTTCCGCACGCCTTTTGCCTTTCGCATTTGTATATGCACGGGGTATTTTCTTTGTTCTTCGCACAGTACTCTTTTATAGTTACTGATTTTACCGATGTTGCATAAAGCAACGATATCATTAATAGAGTAATTAAATTCATTATGTTTCATTGACATTTACGTAATTTATTGATTGCAGCTCTCTTGATGGATTTAAAATTTGGGCATAATTTCATTCATCTAATACACAAAATATTTAAATTTATACCTTTAATATTTTTTGATAATCAACAAAAATATAAACGTCTAATATTGTCTGATGGATTTCTTTATTAGTGATTTATCTATCATTTTATGTGATTCAAAAATAGAAAAATTATCATTGATTTTTCCACTCTACAATTTTATCATTATAGAAATGATTAAATACATTTTCATTGATCATTATTATATAATTTACAAATATTTTAGTAAAGAAATGTGAATAAAATAGAGAGTACAATGAGTATTGGTGTGACGGATCTCCGAATATCCTGATATCTTGACAATTCCACTGGCGGTTCGAATTTATCCTGGCTGATTGGTCTTATGTCACCACAGAGGTTCGGATACTTACTGTTCTTCGTACCGCAGGATCCTCCTGCGTCTCCTCCAGTGTACATTATTTGGTTGATAATATTTCCAGCTGGACGGTAGTTACAAAATATGTCGTAAGAATAAGTCTTTTTGCCGGCTTTGAACGATTGCAGCATCGCGCATCCTATATGCGCGGTGTTGGACCAAAAGACCTGAGTCAAATGACCTGCGTTGTGTATGAACTTGAACTTCAGGCTGAACGATATCGTATTGTTCGTATTGAGAAACTTCATTTCGCCATCCACCCAACCTTTCAGAGACTTCCTCAGTAGAGTACAGTCCATGCCTATCTTGACGGACGACGATATTCCGAACAGATTCTGACCCAAAGATTCTCCGTTCAACGCTTTCCTGATTTTATCGTGTCCCTTTGCGCACTGCTTTATGTAACATCCTGCGATGAATTCAGTTTCCTTGTCGTAACTGAGCGCCTTCATGTTGGCCATCGTCTTCAGCCCCAAGTCGGCCCACTTTCCTCCTGCAGCATCATTCCTGTACATGTTGTGCTCTTCCAAAATGCACTCCCTCAGATCATTAGTCAACACTTTGAAGTCGACCTCCGTTTTTCCGCATTTCGAACTACGTCCGCATCCGAAGTAGCAAGGCGTGTTCCTCTTATCCACTTTGCAGTAATCGTCCAACGATATTTTCTTACCAAAACTGAGCGGAAGCAAAACCAAAATTAGGATTTTCAACATTTTTGCCTGATGACATAAATCAAAAGTAATTTTTAATTATAAATAATAAAACGGCCTTCTCTATCTGCTTCTGAACAAGTTGCTTAGGAACAAGACAATATCTTTTTTTAATTTATTTTCTATATTAATAAACAACAAAACAAGAAAATAACGTAAGAAATATTATTTCTTTGTCGAACTGTATAGTTTATTAAATATAATTTTAAAATAAGAAGTATAATATGATCTGAAAAAAATGAGGAATAAAGTGAAGTTAGTAATAAAAAGGCTTCCTTTATTTAAAGACAAATTGCTTAGAATCAACACATCTTTTTATTTCGTTTATTTTCTATTTTAATATTATTTTCTAAATCAAAAATTTAAGGAAATATTACTTAAATGACAAACTTTATACTTTTTTTTACATATCATTTTACTAATATTATATGTTCTAAAAGAGTGAATAATAAAGTAACGTTTCAAGATATAAGTTATTAAAAAGATGAAATATAAGAAAATAGAAGTAACAACAAAGTTAATATTAGTGCAATGGAACTTCTAGTATCTTCGTATTTCGATAACTTCATAGGTGGTTCGTACGTATCCTCGCTTATAGGTCTGATCACGCCGCAGAGATTCGGGTATTCCAGTGAGGTTTCGGTACAATCTGAAGCTGCTTCTCCTTCCTTGTACATACTCCTCAACTCGATGTTACCAGCAGGTTTGTAGTTGCACAAGACATCGTAGTTGTACTTGTCCTTTCCCATCTTGAAGTTGTGCATCATGGCGCAACCCACGTACAGCGAATTCGCCCACAAAACCTGCGTCAAATGCCTAGCCCTTTTCACGAGCCTGAATTTTGTTTTGAACGTCGCCGCGTTTGTGGAATTCAAGAAGCTCAGCTCCTTATTAACCCACGCCTCGAGACTTCTCTTGATGAGTCTGGAATCGAGAGCCATCGCTGCTTTGGTGGTTACGGTGAAAGAGTTCTGTCCCAGATCTTGACCTGTAGTTGTTAGTCGAACCCTTTCCTCTTCATCTACCAGACATTGCTTGATGAAACATCCGGCTATGAATTCGCTTTCTTTGTCGTAGCTGAGCACCTTCATGTTGGCCATAGTCGGGAGGAAGTTGTTCTTGAATTTTCCACCTGCAGCATCGTTTCTCAGTTCGTTGTGAAGTTGCAAAACTTGGGTTCGTTGTTCATCGGTTAACACTCTGAAGCCAAATTTTGTTTCACCGCATTCTCCGGTGCGTCCGCATTGGTAATAACATGGAGTGTTTTCCTTATCCACTTTACAGTACGACTCCAAAGATAGTTGCGACGAGAAGTTTGCTAGCAGAATAATCAGAAATTCAAAATATAAAATACTATTTATAACCTTTGACATTATTAAAAGTCAATTGACGTAATTATAGCCTTCTAGCTTTCGTACTTTTGATATTTTCTGATCAAATTATGATTATAAAAATCTTCAAATTGAGTCAAAGTTAATATTTTGAAGATAATTTTTAAAGTTTTGTTTATGTTCCAAAAAAATAATGATCTTAAGGGTTTTCGTGAGTTATTTATAGACAAGTGATCTAAATTAATAGGTACTAAGTATTTCATGCACTGCGGTGATATGGTCGAAGGGGGTGTAGTGTATATAGGTATTGTAGTGTATGTAGAGGTGGATGGATGGATGGAAGCAGTCAATTTAATCATACGGAATGATCGGCTCTTCCGGTAATTACATTTGCGGTAAACATGCCATTACTCCGCACACATTATTAAATATTAAATGGAAATCATGACAAATACGTTACAAATGACAATGGGTCGGCAACGGACCGTACGCATGTGGACGAGAAACGTTCACGTTGTGGTTGGACACAGCACAATACCAAAATGCCAACTCTCTCGCCAGTTGCTGCAATTACAGATGGTCAATATTAACCACAAATTGCGCCCCATTTGTGAGGTAATTGTTCGGCTATGTAAAAACCGTTTATAAAATATACATTGTGCAACTACCGACGTTATTATTATCCTCGGATCGAAATGCATTTACGTTCAACTGTATTTTCGTTTTGTTTTGTAAAAAAAAAATTCTATACAACTCCAACATTTTTCATTTACGTTTTTTTTTATTAACAATCATTAAGATTTGAACTATAGTCTATTGCTTCTAAAATATACTTAATTGATTAAGTAAAGAATTAAGTAAATAAAGAAATATATCCGCATTTCAAATAATCTATTAAAAATTATTTTCTCATAAATTATAGTTTTCAACTAAAATCTTTGTGTAATAACAGAATGTCAAATTTAAGTCTTCAACACATGTAAAAGTGAATAAATTTTCTTTTAAGTCATTATTTTAATGAAAATGAATTTATCATTTGACTTTTTTGTAAAATTCTATAACAAAATTACAATTAGAATGACTATTAAAAATTGGGTATTTATAAAATTTGATGAACTAAATTTCGTATTTTTTTATAATTTTAAATGAATTTACAAGTTATTTTAAAATACATCATTTTTATTGTTTATACTCCTCTG